TCCCTTCTGAACAGCCTGTAGCCATCAAGAGCTACATTCCAGTCGTGGGATTCATCCCACCAAGTTTCCGTGATGGCAATCAGGTCGTAGCTTTCCAGCAGGACAATTGCTTCCAACTCCTCCTGTTTGTTTCCTATGCTGCATGCGTTTGTATAGAGGCATTTCATCTGAGCTGTCGGCCTTGTTACCTTCATAGCAGAGAACCCCTTTTCTCCCTTGAGGTGTTTCATGGGTATACCTCAGGCGCCTCCAGCTTCCTTCCGCAAGACTTCCACATTGCTGCAGTGTCCCTCGCATGCTGCTGGGACAACGGGTTGAGGGCTCCTACTAGCCCCCCATCCCTCTAATCATTGTGTATCCTCCCCTAGCCTGTCGCTGGCAAGCCTGATAGGTTCCCCTTCCCCCTTCACCTCTAGTTTAAAGCCCTGTCAATAATCCCTGTGAGCTCCTGGGCAAAGATCCTCTTCCCCCTTTGAGAAAGCTGGTTCCCGTTTGATGGCAGCAAGCTTGGTGCTAAGGGAAGTATCAAGACACAGAGAGGTTACTAGTGGAGTTCTCCAACGATCGGTCCACGAGCAGTCTCATTTCACGCTTTAGGTAACAAGTTACGACCAGCAGTGTTCTGTTTCTTCGTGCACACGCAGTACCCGCGGTGAGCAGAGCGGCCCCACACCGACAGCAAGACCATCGCAGTAGAACTGGGCAGCTCTGAAGGCGGTCGCCAAACAAATGCACCAAAAATCAACAGTACAAAGTAGCAAACGCTTCAGGACTCCATCAAAACACCCGAGGTAGCTGTACTACCTTACGGGGTAGAACTTAAGAGGAAAAAAACCACAAAAGCAGCAGTTGTCGATTCCCCCTGTTCCAGCCCCCTTCCCCATATATTAATGGATTCTGCACTGTCTGCTGGGAGACGTGATGTGGACAGGCATGAGGTTTCATCAGAGCACCACCACTCTCTCGCTGTGAGGGCTGCCCATCTGTCTCCCTCCCCTGTAAAGCCATCAGAGAAGCAGACAGATCGAAACTCACTATCTCCCCTTATCCACAAGCCCAAGCATTCCTTCTAATTCAAATCAGCATTGCCTCCCTTTCTTGAAAAGGCAAACACCTCTTTGCTAACAGAAGGTGCCATCCCCACATTCCACCAGCTAATTAACAGCTCCCTGTATCAACAGAGATAAAAACTTCTCTCCACTCCAGTGACTCAGCTCTGTTTCAACACAGGCTTCAGTGCAAGAGCTGCTTCACCTTCCTGGTCAATCCTCCCATTAATTGCGGTCCTTATTACAACACCCAAAGGCGTTAAGTGCCTTCATCCCTGGCCCATGATGGAGACTCTAGCTGACGGCAGTTAACTGCTTCCAGACAGCGGTCGCGCTGGATTATTTGAGTACCAGCACCATCTTCAAAGCAAGTAACAGCAGTCCTCGGAGACAGAGGGAGAAGCACCTGTATAAGGTTCTGCCCAGACATCTTTTCTGTTAAATTTGTTGAATTCTGGCCATCTGCATTCGAGAAAACACCTCAGGCTGGAAGCGACGGGAGGAGTAAGCAGCAGCTAAACAAAGGGATGGAGAGTCTCTCGCTTCAGGAAAGACTGGAAAAGCCCACCCCGTTTAATCTAGCTTAACAAAAGCTGAAGGGGGATGTTGTCAGAGCTGAAAAACAAACAAGCATAAACAAGGGTGGGAAAAGCCATTTCAGCTGAAGGACAGGTTTGGTTCATGGAGAGCTAAGTACCAACAGTTGGCGAATAAGGTTAGGCCAAAAAGTAGAGAGCTCCTGAAGCATCAAAGCACAGAAATTTTAAGATAGCCTTTAAATGGAAGGGAAAGGGAAAGGCGGCTCCTTTTAACATGCAACAGCCTGTTCCAAAAACCCATCAAGATCTTGAGAGGCACTTGTGAGGGCAGAGGATTTAAGCCAGCAAAAGAAGCAATAGCTGCACCTTTTTAATATCCAGAGGACTGCAACACCACCCGCTGCCAGTACTGCCACTCAAGGGCAGTTTTATTTGGATTTTTTTTTGGTTGGTTGCTTGCTTTTAAATTAAAGATTTGAAGCAAAGTAGCTCCAATACTGGAAGCATTACAAGACAAAGATTGAATTTTTCTTATAAACTTAATGTTTGTCTAGACACCTTTTTCTTTTATTGTTTACTTCCAACTAAATTGTGTAGCACAAATGATCAGAGAAATGAAGCGCAGAAATGGCTGCTTTGCTGCTGGCGCAGCGGCAGCAGGTCACGCACTTACGTGGATTTCTTGTTGGACAGCGGGGTTGTGAAAATTCAAGTCCGGCTGTTCTTTCCCAAACTGATGAAGATAACACTGCTTTCTCACATCGTCGAACTGCCAGCTGGAATTCCCAAAGACACTCACCTGCTCGCGTGAGGGAGGGGGACCATCAGAACTCCGACTTTAACATTTACTCCTGTGCATACTTTAAGATGTGGTGCATTGCATTACAAACATATTAAATAAAACACAAAACGCCTAATCAATGGGCTAAATTTTGAGTAGATTTTGGTACTTAGGTTACACATTTCCTCCTCCTGCTTGTTGCTCTCCCTTTAGTTGTGCTTTGCCACATTTATTTCTTGTTCAATGTTTTGTTTCTTTTTTTTTTTCTTTAAGCAGACTTTCACTGGGAATTGTTCAGAATAGAGGGAAAAAAATGGGTGGGAACATTTCTTTCGGAACAGTTTTTCCTAAAACTTATTAAAAATAGCTTTAGTTAACTTAGAGCTTTCTGCAGTCTGGTATTCTCCCTTTGAAGCGGCAACAACAGTCAGCACGTTAAAACATTAACTTTATAATCTCTGTAATAAAAGATTCCAAAAACTAAGGTAGCTCTCAAGACTCTAAGTTTAAAGAGAAATTACAGTGGCTGGTACAAAATATTAATTCCGCCTTGAGTTTTCAGAATATACAAGTCCCTAATCATGCACCCATCAGTTCAAATTTCAAACAAACATATTTGAAATAGGCAACCCACTTTCTGGCCTGGTCGCCTTCCAGAAAAAGGAAAAAAGCCAAGAACGGACTGTTTGGTTCCCCTCCCCACCAACTATGGCTTCAGAGAAGCCGAGATGAAGTTTCTCGAGCGGAGCACCCAGACACAGACCGGGGCATGTGTGAACAACCTGCGCACAACTATCCCTGTTTTTGTGTGTTTAGTGAGTGAACATTTTAACACCGAGGGAAAGAAACAAAAGTAATTTTTTGAATACTGTTTGAAGCAGGAACCCTTCCACCCTGAGCTGGTTTAAATCTTCATCTGCACTAGCTCATTTAGTAACGCCAGTGTGTACCTCTCGACAGCCACGTATAACCCAGCATACGGGAGGACAGCTATGCTATAGCTGCTTTTGCTACGTGGCAACAGGCACCCAGACGGGGATTCCGCGTGTCCCGTCCCGCGCTCACCCAGTTGTTGGGGGGAGTGACCGAACCGGCAGCCTGCCCGCAGTCCTGCCAGATGTAGTAGTCCGTGTACTTCCCAGTCCGATTGCGGCTCAGCTGGAACCATCGGTGTTTGTCACTTGTGTGGTTTGGTATTAAATCCATTATCACCTTTAACCCTTGAATAGATCAAAACATAAAAAACCCCATGAAATTCAGCCCCTTAAAACAAAGCTCATGTTTTTATTTCATGCAGTATCGGAAGTGTTTGGGCTTCCTCCTTTCCAGAGGTCTGGCAAAAGAGAAAGGCTCCTGGCTGGAAGGGCTTGGGCTCGAGGGACAAGCGAGTGCATTACATTTTGACTCGGCACAGCCTCCTTGCCTGCTGACACGGGAGAGCACAGGCGTGAACAAAATACTCCAGGCTACCGATGCAGTTCTGCAAGCAGCTGCAACACATCTTTCTGGTACTGTTCCCCCCTGCTCATTGCTGGGGAGGGAAAGATGATGGAAGAAGAATCAGAACAGATTTCTGCTGTTCGGAACCACTTCCACTAACTCCAACTTCAACATCTGTCTCCCACCTCCCCAGTGGGAAAGGCGCTTCACCAGTGCAGCATCAGTGAACACGCGTTCTTCCTCACCCTTCTTAAAGGCTAGACATTTTTTGAAATCTGAGGACGGTTTTGGGACTTTTCCATTCAGCCCAGCCGCAGTAAGGGGCAACACCTGAGCGAATTGGTCTAAGGCACAAACGCAACAACCAAGGATACAATCACAGGGAGGAAGCGTACAGAATCACAGAATGTTTGGGGTTGGAAGGGGCCTCTGTGGGTCACCTCGTCCAGCCCCCCTGCCGAAGCAGGGTCACCTACAGCAGGCTGCACAGGACCTTGTCCAGGCAGGTCTTGAATATCTCCAGAGAAGCAGACTCCACCACCTCCCTGGGCAGCCTGTTCCAGTGCTCTGTCACCCTCAGAGGGAAGAAATTCTTCCTCATGTTCAGACGGAACTTCCTGTGCTTCAGTTTGTGCCCGTTGCCCCTTGTCCTGTCACTGGGCACCACTGAAAAGAGTCTGGCCCCATCCTCCTGACCCCCACCCTTAAGTATGTTCCCTCCCAACCCTGGAATTGTTTTCCTGCTTTCTCCAGAAAGCAGCCATCAGTCAAAATTCAGCCAGTCAACCACATCTCGGATCTAATTCCCCAGGCTGCTGACGCCCGTTATCCACATGCCCCCAGGAGCGCGGACAGTATGTCAGCCCTACCACTCAGGAGCATCCTCGGAGGGGACCATGCCCTGGGGAGGACGTGCAGCAGCCTGGCACTGCTGTTGTCGCTCCCCACGCCTTCGGTCTGCTCCCAGCCCTACCCCAGCGCCCGAGGGCAGGGAAGGGCAATCACAGAGCTGCGTTGCTGTGGAGCTAAGGCGCACCCTGCCCTGGCACCTCCAGCTGCTTCTGCTCAGTGCCACCATGGGGGAACTGCCAGGTGCACAAATTGAAAAATCACAGATCGTAGCCTAGGACCACGAGGTATGCTTGTATAATATGAGTGGAGGTCGTCTTAATAGTTAATTTGCTCGGAGTTGCAGCTTACCTCTGTCATGTATGGCTGCAAGCAGATCCTCAAAATCGCTCATTGATCCAAACATGGGATCAATATCATAGAAGTCTTCTGCTCCATATCCAAGGTCTTTTAAGGGGGACTTGTAGAAAGAGGTGATCCAGATGGTTTTTATATTCAAATACGTGATATGGTCCAGCTTTTCTTGGATACCTGTTTAAAAGAAAAGGGCGTCATCTGTTTAGAAAAGACAAAATATTTCTGTTGAAATTCGTTTGTCATGGGCTCTCAAAGACAATACACAGGTCCGTTTGATACATAACCATCCCCTGTTGTCACTGATCTCACGTAGCAAGGCGATCTTCACAGGAACAGCATGAGATCACAGAATGGAAACCATTCAAAGCCACTTTTATAAGGAAGATAAAGCAAAAATTTCAAAAAAACATCAGCTCAAAGCAAATTTCTGCTCCATATTATAAAAATATTTACAAGTTCATTTAATAAATTTAACACTTCTGAAAACAAACTGCTATATTTTCTTAAAATGCAGCAAGAGCATTGCTTCCACATTTCAAGGAACTCAATCCTCTGACCACCCAAAAGGAATTTTGATGCAAAGACCCCAGGTTTTCGCTGCCCTTCATAAAAGTATTTTATGTTTTTTTCCTATTTTTTTGTTGTTGAGGTTTTTTTTGTTCGGTTGTTTGTTTTTTAGGATCCCTTACTCCAGTCTCCCCTAGTTTTTTTGGATTTTTTTTGTGGTTTGGTTTTGATTTTTTAAACCCAAATCTCTTCTGTCTTCCTGATGTGTTACTACTGGTATGCAACCACAGAAACAGTTTCATTTCTTCTCTTGCTGGCAGCGTATATTATAGCTGGTGCTTCTTGTTTTTAAGTTTGTTATTTGTTATGGTGTTGAGCCTTCCCCTTCTGAAACAGTCTCAGCTAAGCTACTGAGCAGTGGCATTGCCTCTTAGTAACAGGTACCCCCCCCTTCTCACTGCATTTGGAAGAGCTCAAAAACACCCAGACCATGAACAAAGCAAGAAGTAACACATCTTTCTCTCCTCTTTCCCAGTTTCATTTTTCTCACTTTTCCATATGGAGAGGCAGCCAGCCTAACGAAGCGCTCAGCACCACCAGGCCTCCCACTGACCTCAGTTTTGTGCAGGTGTTTTACTCTGATGGCAGTTGTGCTGCTGTGCCCTCTCAGCCCCACCTTTAGACATCCCTTCTAACTCCAGGCTTAGACATAGCAACCTGAGCAAGCAACTCCTAGATCTATTAATGACAACAACGTGAGTCGCAATTAATGATTAGTCAGACAACTTTTCTTCCCTTCTCCATTAGGTAGGGTGGCTTTGTCTATTCGACTGTATGGTGATTTTTTATTTTTTATTTTTTAAATATATACATACATACACACAAAGACAACTGCTACCCGGCTTTGCACATACCAAGAATGGAAATTCACCCACCTTTCAGATCCCCATTCCCATCCATGTTGCTGTCCTTGAAGGAACGAGGATAGATCCGATAAATAGGACTAGCCTGCCACCAGTCAAGGCACTTCGGAGAGAGCGCAATAATCGTGATCGTAGCGCACACAAGCACGATGGCAGCGGCGACTGTGAGCCAGAAGAGAATCTCCCTGGTGACTCTGTACCGGGCTTGCCTGGAGAACTTCAGCAAGACTTCCTTCGGCATCCCCGCGTAGGGCTTCAGTGCTGGCTCCTCAATAGCTGCTGGGTCCGCATCGACAACGCATGTTTTTGGCATTTCTTCTTGGCTACTGGTATTGGTGTCCTTGTCGTCAAAAGCCTCATTTTGAACAAATCCGTTGTTCTCCACACCTCCCTTCTCGCTCAGCTCCATAGGTAAGCTCTTAGCTTCCTCCTCGACCATTTTAACTTCACGGGTCTTGTCCTGGAGACTCCGGCCACAGGAAGGAAAGGTGCCAACATACCTTTGTTCAGTGAAATGAGAAGCAGAGCAATTAGCACCTAGGTTTATAATCAATCCTGACCAACTGGCCAAAGTCCAAATAGAGACAAAAAGGGCAAAGTGCTTCCACTTTTCTGCTTAACAAGCATCTTCCGCAAGGTAACAAGAAAGTGCAGTCTTTCAGGGAGGCAAGCCTGTTGCTCTTACCAGCTGAGCAGAGTTACATTTACTGTCCCTCTCTTCAGTGCACCAAACATCTCTTCCTTTTGACAGCAGGGGAAAAACTGGGGTTTTTTACCAGTACAAGATTTAGTAAATATGCAGCTTTCCAGCCCGCTCATGATTTCCCCTGCCTAAACCATTCTTAGCATTAATGACTAATTTAAATATGGATGCAAGGAGGCGGCGTTGACAACTTCCAGCCCCAAAGCAACAATACAAACTAAGAAGCAAAGATACAAAGGCCGGTTGCGCTTCGTTTCTCACAGCTTAGAAAAACCCCCCCCCACCCCCCACCCCAAACTAACCCACCCACAACTCTCCAGCAGGAACTTCCCCTCTTTCCCCCTCCCTGCTACTCTAGCCAGCAAGGAGTGTTGCCCAAAGCCTGCACAAGCGTGCGCAGATGCACACATGCGTGTGCCCGACATGCACACGTGTGTGTGCCCAAGTCTATTTAAAAAAAAAAAATTAAAGAAAAGTGACCCTTTTCCCTCTTTCCCCCTTCCTGCTACTCTAGCCAGCAAGGAGTGTTGCCCAAAGCCTGCACAAGCGTGCGCAGATGCACACATGCGTGTGCCCGACATGCACACGTGTGTGTGCCCCAAGCCCCAGCTGCCCTGAGGCCAGCAAGGCGGCATCCCCCGAGGCAGCCCCCCCCAGGCACTGCCCTCGGCCCAGGCACACCACAGCAAACACCAAGCAATATCTCTTTGCCAAGGGGCTGCCTTCTCCCATGTAAAAGCAAACACTTGGCCCGGGGTCCCAGGGAAACTCCCATGGGCAATGGTAGTGCAGGAAAGGCTGGTTTTGGCCTCACA